AGACAGAGTCTCGCTTGGTCCCCCAAGCTGGAGTGCAATGGCACTGTCCCGGCTCACTGCAACCTCTACCTCCTGGATTCAAGTGATTCTCATGCCGCAGCCTCCCAAGTAGCTGGGATTACAGCCATGTACCACCATGTCTGGCTAGTTTTTTTATTTTTAGTAGAGATGGGGTTTTGCCATGTTGGCCAGGCCGGTCTCAAACTCCTGACCTCAAGTGATCCGCCTGCTTTGGCCTCCCAAAGTGCTGGGATTATAGGCGTGAGCCACAGCACCTGGCCTAAATTTTGTAACTTTTTTTTTTTTTGAGACAGAGTATCACTCTATCACCCAGGCTGGAGTGCAGTGGAAGGATCCGGCTCACTGCAACCTCTACCTCCCAGGTTCAAGCCATTCTCCCACTTCAGCCTCCCGAGTACCTGGGATTACAGGTGTACATCACCATCGCCAGCTAATTTTTGTATTTTTAGTAGAGATGGGGTTTCACTATGTTGGCCAGGCTGGTCACAAACTCCTGACCTCAAGTGATCCTCCTGCCTCGGCCTCCCAAAATGCTGGGATTACAGAAGTAAGCCACCGCGCCCAGCCTAATTTTGTAACTTTTGTTTGACAGAAAGGCTTTGAATTCTCTTCTCCCTCTGGCCAAAGAATTTCTAAAGAAACCACTGTCTCCCACAAGTTCTCTGACTCAAAATTACACGTGGAACAACAACAAAGCAAATCCAACTAAAATATGGGACAAAGGACTTGACTTCTCCAAAGAAGATACACAAACAGACCGCATGCAGTGGCTTGCGCCTATAATCCCAGTGTTTTGGGAGGCCCAGGTAGGAATAGCCTGAGGCCTGGACAACATAGCAAGACCCTGTCTCTATTAAAAATAATAAACTAATAAAGAAGTACTCCTGAACTTAAAAGTTAAAGACTATTAATTATTGTTTAAAAGATATACAAATGACCAATAAGCACATTAAAACATGCTCAACTGGCCGGGCGCGGTGGCTCAAGCCTGTAATCCCAGCACTTTGGGAGGCTGAGGTGGGTGGATCACGAGGTCAGGAGATCGAGACTATCCTGGCTAACATGGTGAAACCCCGTGTCTCTACTAAAAATACAAAAAACTAGCCGGGCGTGGTGGCGGGCGCCTGTAGTCTCAGCTACTTGGGAGGCTGAGGCGGGAGAATGGCATGAACCCGGGAGGCGGAGCTTGCAGTGAGCCGAGATCACGCCACTGCACTCCAGCCTGGGAGCACAGCGAGACTCCGTCTCACAAAAAAAAACAAAAACAAAAACAAAAACAACATGCTCAACTTCACTAATCCTTAGGGAAACGCAAATAAAAACCACAATGAAATACACTTCACAGCCATTAGGACAGCTACTATAGAAAAACCAGAAAATAGCAAGTTCTGTTGAGGATGAGGGGAAATTGGAACTCTTGTGCATCACTGGTCGGAAAGTAAAACAGTATAGCGGTTCCTTGAAAAACTAAAAATATTTTTCTTTTGTACTTTTTGTGGAGAAGGGGTTTCACTATGTTGGCCCAGGCTGGTCTTGAAACTCCTGAGATCAAGTGATTCCGCCACCTTAGCCTCCCAAAGTGCCTGGGATTACAGGTGTGAGCTACCACCTCCGGCCAATAATTATATTTTTAGTTTTTCAAGGACCCGCTATACTGTTTTACTTTCCGACCAGTGGATGCACAAGAGTTCCAATTTCCCTCATCCTCAACAGAACTTGCTATTTCTGGTTTTCTATAGTAGCTGTCCTAATGGCTGTGGAAGTGTATTTCATTGTGGTTTTAATTTGCGTTTCCTAAGGATTAGTGAAGTTGAGCATGTTGTTTTGTTTGTTTTGTTTTTTTTTTGAGAGGAGTCTCGCTGTGCTCCCAGGCTGGAGTGCAGTGCGTGATCTCGGCTAACTGCAAGCTCCGCCTCCCGGGTTCTGCCATTCTCCCGCCTCAGCCTCCCAAGTAGCTAGGAACTACAGGCGCCCGCCACCACGCCCGGCTAGTTTTTGTATTTTTAGTAGAGACAGGGGTTTCACCATGTTAGCCAGGATAGTCGATCTCCTGACCTCGTGATCCACCCACCTCAGCCTCCCAAAGTGCTGGGATTACAGGCTTGAGCCACCGCGCCCGGCCAGTTGAGCATGTTTTAATGTGCTTATTGGTCATTGTATATCTTTTAAACAATAATTAATAGTCTTTAACTTTTAAGTTCAGGAGTATTCTTTATTAGTTTATTATTTTTATAGAGACAGGGTCTTGCTATGTTGTCCAGGCCTCAGGCTATTCCTACCTGGGCCTCCCAAACACTGGGATTATAGGCGCAAGCCACTGCATGCGGTCTGTTTGTGTATCTTCTTTGGAGAAGTCAAGTCCTTTGTCCCATATTTTAGTTGGATTTGCTTTGTGTGTTCCACGTGTAATTTTGAGTCAGAGAACTTGTGGGAGACAGTGGTTTCTTTAGAAATTCTTTGGCCAGAGGGAGAAGAGAATTCAAAG